TAATTGTTCATGGAAATTATCAGTTTAGGAATTAAAATATTATCAGGCATCACTCCAAAGCTACAAGAACTTCTATCCCCAGTCGCAACATCACAGTCATCATGCTGAGCCACATGACGCAGCACAGGAACCTTTTTTAACCACTTTGTCCTTAAATACCTGATAAACTGACAAACTTCACTGTGTGACATCAGCAAAGTTGAAATATGAGCAATAATTAATGAACGATAAGCCCTCTGTGCCTCTCTGCATATGAATAAATGTGAGGAGAAGCAGGGAGACAGCTGACCTGGACCAACCTGCAGTGACAGAAAAGTGATGGTCAGTCAGCGCCATCCAGTGGTGGAAAGACAACACTGCATTTTTGACTTTAGATCATCTTTTTCTTTGCTTCACTCCCACTTTATATTATTCAACTTAAAGTTAGATTTATTTCACATGAATGAGTAACAGCCATTGTTACAAAGGAAAGACATGATGCAGTGTGAAAAAGATAATTACATGATGATGGATTTTAATTCGTCTTGTGTCCCCCATTCTCCTTCCACCTTTTTTAAACTCCCCCTTGTTTCCCTCTCTTAATGTGAAATCAACAACTGATCAGTCATCATGTGTCTCATATATGTTTATAAACACATGTTCTGTGTGTGTGTGTGTTCTGCTGTACAAGCATATTTTGTTCAGCATATTAATTCCTTCCTTCCTTCCTCCCCTTTTCTCCTTTCCATTGCTGTTGCTATATTTCTGAGTTTTGAAATGGTTGTTTTATGCTTATTTGTGTCTGATTTTGATTGACGCACACCTGACTTTCTCTTCTCTTCTCTTCTCTTCTCTTCTCTTCTCTTCTCTTCTCAACCTTCCTAGCCCCCTCCTCCTCCTCCTCCTCCTCCTCCTCCTCATCCTCATTCTCATCTCTGTGCGTGTGTATATATACATATATATATATATATATGTATATGTATGTATATATATATATATATATATATAGGAGCAGTGGAGCACCTCCTCAGGCTGCAGAAAGACCAATTAATTAAAAACACTAATAACCCTTTCTCAGAGCATTTTCCTCCTCATACATTATTAATGTGGCTCTGTATGATCATTTGCAGGTAGTGTGTGTGTGTGTGTGTGTGTGTATGTGCAGTTTCTTGCTTAACCAGTGCCACTTTGAACAGATGTGTGTGTGATGGTGATTTTCACTTGGCGGTGCTCATTAAGAGCCAACCAGCTGAGAGTGAGTGAGTGAGACGACCTGGGTGTATATGGTAGTTCATGTTATTTGCATGGTAAGCGCTGGCCTGTGTGTGTGTGTGTGTGTGTGTGTGTGTGTGTGTGTGTGTGTGTGTGAGTGTGTGTGTGTGTTATCTCATTTGCAACCCTCGTTACAGTAAGTGGCAGCTGAGAGGACCCCGGGGCCACTCAGATGCAAAGAGGAGGAAATATCAAGTTAAGAGGTTAATGAAAAGGTTTTGCGATCCTGATCTGCTCCCTGTAGTGTTTCTCTGTCGTTTGATGCATAGTCGGGAAAAACAGGTGACACCAAAACCAAAATGCAAAAATCTGAAATACACCCATCAAATCACATACTTGTGTCCTAAAAAGTTCAAGAACCTTTGGGGCCTTGTTGATGAGTGAGGGCAGAATGGAGCATGAGATGGATCGGTGGTTTGGTGCGGCTTCTGCACTGATGCGGGCACTGCACCAGACTGGAGCTGAGCCAGAAGGCAAAGCTTTCGATTTACTGGTCCATCTATGTTCCAACCCTCACCTATGGTCATGAGCTCTCGGTTGTGACTGAAAGAATGAGGTTGCAGGAACAAGCGGCTGAAATGAGTTTCCTTTGTGCGGTGGCTGGTCTCAGTCTTAGAGGTAGAGTTAGGAGCTCGGGCATCCGGAGGGAGCTCGGAGTAGAGCTGCTGCTCCTTCGCGTTTGAAAGGGGTCAGTTGAGGTGGTTCGAGTATCTGATCAGGATCCTCCTGGGCGCCTCCTGTTAGAGGTGTTCAAGGCATGTCCCACTGATAGGAGGCCCCGGGGCAGACCCAGAACACTCTTTTTAGTGTCCACTATGAACCCGGTCAGACTGTTGAACGTCCAAGTGCTCATTAATCCCTGATTTTTACCACTGGCTGACTTGCTGTTATCGTAGGGTACTACTTATGCCACCTGTTGACTATAAATGACAAGCAATTGAAAAGGACCCGAGTCGAGACTTCTGCCAGTCAAAGCCAGTGGTGCATTCACATGCTCCTCCCATGGTTGTTGTTTTGACTCCGGTGTGTTCATGAGCTTCAAGTTGTACTGTGAAAATAACATAGATGCTACAAAGATGTGTTGTATTTTATTGCTCACAGCCGTTAATAATACGTTAATAACAAAGAGCAAAAGAAACACATCTGGTGAGTCTTGAGATGTGACCGGGAACTCATTTTTCAGATTGGCACGAACTATAACAGTGTCACAGAGTAAGTGACATCATATCCTGCAAATGCATCAGCTCAAAGGAACTGATACTGTGAAAAGTATTGGTTTGCCCGCTACTATGACGGAGCTGAAACGAGGCGGAGCAAGAACTGGACAGGTAACACTCAACATCAGACTCCTGCAGTGAGACTGAAAGTTAGTGAACTCGACAGGAGCGCTGCAGTCAAGACACATCTTGCCGTGTCTCATTAAAGAAAGAATAACTAAACTAAGCTCTCAGCATCTTTCTAAGCTACACGACAGAGTTTCTGCACATTGGTGAGTACAGCTGATCATGTCTACTGTGTTAAACAACCAGCATTACCACATACCTGCACTGTGCTCGCACAGGGTGTGTCACCTTTTCATTTAAGAACAAGACTTGTTAAATGAAACTTTTACTTACAGTACAGGCCAAAAGTTTGGACACACCTTCTCATTCAATGCGTTTTCTTTATTTTCATGACTATTTACATTGTAGATTCTCACTGAAGGCATCAAAACTATGAATGAACACATGTGGAGTTATGTACTTAACAAAAAAAGGTGAAATAACTGAAAACATGTTTTATATTCTAGTTTCTTCAAAATAGCCACCCTTTGCTCTGATTACTGCTTTGCACACTCTTGGCATTCTCTCCATGAGCTTCAAGAGGTAGTCACCTGAAATGGTTT